GGCTTGTGTACCATAAAATCCGGAATAGCTAAAGTGAGCAAATTCATGCTACCGCCCGACTCGGGTTACATCGGCATCAGACATGTTATACAAGTAATACAAGTGAAGTTTAAAAACAAATGGCCGGTAAATAATCCACTAGGGATTAGGGAAAAAACGACTTGGAACGAACACACCGAAAACGAAACGACCAAAAAACATTTGAAAATTCGCGCTTGCGAATCGAGGTCACCAATTTTTAGGACTAGTCTATACTAATCCGAGAGTGTCCTTGCTCTGGTGCGGTTACCAGAAAACCGGAGACGGACACAACGGGAAAGGCTACAGTCGAACGAAAAATGGATGCAGCGACGAAAGCGTACGTCACTATCGGAACTCACTGTGAACACAAGTGATGAGCCGGATGTGGGTAAAAATGGCCGTAAGATCGACATTAAAACAACAACCAATATTGCACGATTAAGTAACCACAGTGTACATACGATAAATATCTTTCGGGTTGCGACCGAGCTCCCCTCCTAGCAGGTTAAACCAGCAAGCCTTCGAAATCAAAAGGGGTCGTGGATCAAAGTTCGTAAAAGGTATTCGTATGCAAAGAAGTATCCGTTCGTTTTCGGAAATAAATGTAGCCGACAATTAGGATCCGCTGTGCCGTTCGGTATTTATTATTTATTGATTGCAGAGTAGGGTGCATTTCGTTGAGCGTTGGAGCGGGCTTGTCGGATTCCAAAAAATTGGCTAGCCCAGAAAAAGGCCGACAGAACCTCAACCTCCGCTGCTGTCAAACGATGCGCTTGGGAGTGGTCTCTCCCCCCACCTCATCCCGTCCCGCGCCAAAACGATCCTCGTCCCACGGAGAAAAGACCATCGTCCCACGAAGAAACGAAACACGTCCCGCGGAGAAACCGGCGTTCGCGTCAGGATCATCGTTGACTGCGCCAATCCTCGAAAACACTGCTCATGTGAGCCAGTCGATCGAAGTGGTGGGTTGGGGGCGTGTAGAGACGAGAAAATAGTAATAGATTAGCATAGTCGATGTGGCTGCCAAAACCTTCGCACGAATCTTGCTTTGCAGCTTTGCCAATGGGATGAACCTGCGAACTCGCGATAACCAAGGTAGATTTCGTCCAGGCAGAAGACTGCACTGACGTCAGGTACTCGAACATCTCTGCCAGTTCCAGCAGCCAACGTTTGTTCGCTTCCTTGATTTTCTAGCTGCCTTTGACTCAGTTGACCGTGAAGCACTCTGGAGAATTCTACTTGCCGATGGCGTGCCAGTTACACTCGTTAACTCGATGAGATCAAACTACCGTTGCATGAAGGCCCCGATTCGGATCTATGGAGGAATTCGACATTAATACTTGAGTCCGACAAGGTTGCCCACTTTCTCCACTGCTATTCAACTTCGCAGTCGACTGGGTTATTCATCATGCCCTTGTGGGCTAGCTTGGTGTACAAGTTCACCCTGATTTCTGGCTATCAGACTTGGTATTTGCAGACGATCCTATATCACTACAGCCACTGCTAATTCCGGTCGATCGATCAACCTCTATGATCGACCTCAAAATTAACATCATCAACACGAAATACTACACATCGTCAGTCACCTAGTCCGTCCCGTCGCTCTCCTTACATAGACAACTCATCGAGTCTGTTCCTTAATTCGAGTACCTTTGATCCACTATTCTCCCCGATGATCAGGTTACATCCGAAATCCGGAATCCCATTGACAGTGCCCAAACAGCCTTTTTACAACTGAGAAATACGTTGTGGCGAAGGACGGAAAGTAGTCTGAGAACGAAAATCCGAGTATTCTCAGCAACCACCCGAGCCGTTTTACTCTATGGTTGCGAAACATGACCGCTACGATTCAGAGAGACCCGGAAGCTGGAAGCCTTCGACCATTGGTGCCTAAGGCCTTTTTGAAAACGCAGTGGCATAAGCGTATCACCAATGACGAAGTTCGTAAGCGCTGTTACAGTCTTCCGAAGCTCTCAGCGCTCATACAACGCTGCAGACTCTAGTGGTTCGGTCACGTCCTCTACAGACCAGACACTTGTTTCGCCCTCGCCTTGCCAGGGTTAGTGTTGTCGCCGTGGTGGACAATTGAAAACGTAGCTCGCTGCAGTGAAATCGGATGTCGATCTTCCGGGACTGCAGGTTACGCACAGTGCTCGTCACTAGAAAAACCATTGCATCAGTATCTGCGTGAAGCTTGTCGCCGACCGTCGCGCTTGAGCAGCTGCAATCCGCGACATTCATGAAGCCGGCTCCTCTTGTCACAGGAGCTAGCCGCAGTAAAGTCAAGTAAGTTTCCACAACCATTACAAATGGCGTCGCGCGCAGGGCCTTGCCATCGATTATGTCTGTTCAATCCCCAGAAGAAACATTTGTTATTCCTTATGGTAACGACAACGTTGTTACCTAGGACTACCGAGGTACTTAGCGCTTGCAAATGTTCAGAATGACCTATGATAGAAAGATCGGGCTTGTTCAAAGCGGTTTGTAAATCGAGCGACACATTTTCCAAGAGACGACGTGTAGCTTGAGAGTGAAGCCCAGTTATGAATACATCTCGAATGGCGTATTCGCGGTTCTTCTCTGCTGTGACCCTTTTGAAGTTACAATCTTGGATCAGTGATTTCACTCTTTAATATAGTCGTATACCTCAATACACACGTAGTTCGCAAGGATCCTCAACTTATTGAACTGAAGTGAGTCAACGGTGTCTAGAAAATAAGTAAACGTATCAAATCAATGGGTCCATTGTTTCGCCTAGTTCGTGTTCCTGGAATTGGCACGGAAACGTTCTGGCCGGAGGATTCGATCCATTGCTTGCTGAATAAATTGTACTGGAATTGAATGAGAAGGAATACGGCGAGTGAGAAGAGATTAGGCTTTACTCACCAAGTAAGTGATGCCTGTTGACCGAAATTAACAGCGGAAAGGTTATGGTAAACAAGTAATAAGTACGAAATTCACGCATCACTCATCAGCTCCGTTATTTCACACGACGCGCTCTGATGGCTGGGCCATATGTTACGCTTACCGGCACCCCGACTTTCGCGACGTTTCTTTACCTTTGAATGCTGCATGCGCGCGACTCAGTTTGGGTCCGCATAACGCACGCTAGGTTTTGCGTTGTTAGACCAAACAGAATATGGCCCGCAGTCGGTACCAGAGGCAAGCTTTCTGTGGCATTTTAGTGTGTTACTGTCATCTAATTATCTGTGGACAAAGGCTACTTGTGGCGGAAAGCAGTGCATGTCGCACGCAAGTTGCCTCGCTAATGTTGTCTTGTTTTCGGACGATATCCATGTGCTTGGGATGTTGGTTGACTTTGGGTATCTTGACCCTGGATCTTTATCTCAAGCGGCTAGTGTTGTGTTTCCTCTGACATTACGAATAACCGATGTAGCCACTCTGGTCACGATACAAATCAAAAGACAAAGGCCTCTGGCGGAACTTGTATGGAGCACTCGGAAGACAGAATGTACAGTCAAAATATGGGGTCAAAATAAATGGTTCATATGAGAAAAGACATAATTGTAAGTCCCTGACTGTAGCAATTACTAGATGTGCAAAAATTCGCCTGTTGGCCGTTCAAGTAGTGCGCTTACTGGAGGGCTTCAGGGCAGGTCATTCTGATTGGTCCACTTCAAAGCAAAACGATGTTATTGGCTCACTCTCGTTGGCTAGCCAACCAGCTACAGGCGGCATACGACCAGTCTTCTCTGCGCTGCTTCAGACAGAGAGCTGACTTCGAAGGCTACTACGAACGGTCTCCTGTAACACCTAGGTTTTACACCAGTTCCCATTCTCCTCTTAATGTTCCTAATTAGTTTGTTCAGCACGGTTGTATGGTATCGAAGCATCATTTCAGCCTAATTATATGCCGCCGCTGATGATGATGAGAAGAAAGAGGAGGAAGCTGATGCCAAATGAAGCAGTAGCTCATTGTTACAAAATTTTGCTCAAATTACTGGTCAGAAGCTCAGGAAACTTCGCCACTATACCTTTTTCATTATCAGCTATTTGGAAAGGGTATTATTGTACAACTCAACCGATAGCACTCTGACTTTTGCGGCACACAGCGTTTTACTCACATGGTATGTCGTGTGTAGTTGTATACGCTTCAGTATGTTTCATTATACAGTTGTTTGTACGGCCTCGTGTCCAGCGTGATACCACGAATTCGGTCCGAACTTCATCATCATCATCATTATGCACGTTAGCTAGGAGTGTAAAACACCTCAGCTACTGTGCCGCAATACATAGAAGAAAAAAAGAAAATAAATGCAACAGTTGCATGCCAGCTGACCTACTAGCAACGGATGGGCATCGTTCCGGAAAGCTAACAGCTGGCTACTAGGCAACAAGCGAAATTATGATGTACAATTATATTATGCTGTGAAATGAGATTGTGGTAGTCCGAACTTCACTTTGGGTACTATTGCTTTTGAAGCGCCCATCAAATGGAGATGTTTTTTAACATATATCATCTATTAGATGTATACTTTTACTATACATGCGTGAATGTGTTGGGCGCCATAACTTCTTCATTTTGCCTCATCTATCGGCGTTTTTGTGGAATTTAGTAGAGTAGACAAACGTTTCTCAGAAGAACGCTCCTCAAAACCATGGTATTCATCGTTTTCCGTCATTTTGGACAAGCCATCTTTGTACTTGGAATGCTTCCCTGCAGTTCTTGGTCTACCATTTTGGTCTCATTTTCCCACTCTATGAAGTATGTCCCCGTGGACTCGTTTTACTTATGGGCTGTGTACACTGCTGCTCTATACCCTCGATGAGGCTCATGGAACGCCGGCATTGCACTTACAGACTTTTCGTAAACAGACAAGTTATTATGCTGATTCCCTTTCAGCACTTTCGTTCTATTCTGGCGATGAATATCCTTGGTTCTTTGTTTTGGACCTCCTTAGTCGTACTCGTATGCACTTCTTCGAATTCTCATTCTACCAATGGATATTCTGCTTTCAGATAACTTGCTATTTTGTCTACTCAATCCTTGAGACCGAATAAACGAGTAATATCATGGAGTTCCCTGAACTTGGCGCTAATTGCGCTCTCAAAAGTTGTCGGCAACTTGGTACGTGCCACACACAGTTATAATCTCATCCAGCAGACTTTCTACCGGTTAGATGCGCGGGGTGCCATGGTTTGTTTTGCAAAGATCATTACATTCAGTCACAACACAGCTGTCCATCGCCTATCATTCATGACAAACAGGTGCCCATTTGTCCCTTATGCAATGCTATTGTACCTGTGAAACCTGACGAATTGCCAGATGAACGTGTGGGTCAACACATTGACACTGCCTGCAAATCTAAACCCGCTTTGGAGCTCAAGGGTAAAGTGAGTGAAACTACGTGGCATACGGGCTTCCCTATGCAGTTGGAAACACGAACGCTTCTTTTGTTATTTCGGAATGGTTTTACTTCCAGTATTACATAGTAGCTTCGGAACTACACACCGGTTCAACTTTCACACTGCATTTTAAAGCATCCCTCACAGCAACTCTCCATCAAAGGCAATATTCATCCGTTATGTTGCTTCTGCTAGGTATTTAGTTTTTGTTTACTGTGCTACCTACGGAAGTGAGCTGGATTTTCTAGGACTAGGCTGACACGATGATTTTCTTCTTATCATCTTTATAATCTTAGCTTACGCTCCAACTGCTTGCAGTTGTGACTCGGTCAAGGACGTTTCTATCGTAAACCTCACCAACTCTTGAGTAGAGCTTACGAATCCGATATTGTCATCCTTGCTGGAGATCTGGCACTTGCTAGTTGTCTGTTGTCACACGAGTCACCAGTTGTCACTAAGCGCTCGATGAGCGCCGCTCAGATAATGGAGGAAGACTTCTCACACTACGTGGAGACAATCGTCTGTTTCTCTCAAGCACCTGATTCAGACATTGGAGTAGACGTTCCGCTACTTGGCGTCTACCATCTCCGACTCAGTCATGGTCTCAGATTGACCACATTGCAATTGCGTTCCTTGGATCTGACCACTGCAGAAATATCCCTGTGGACTCTAATCATAATTATGTGCACCGTTCTCTCAGTCGCAGCTCAAACAAAGCCTACTCAGTGATCGACTTATCTTTGCACGACAGCCAGCTATTTGTGACGGTATGTTGTCTACACAAGGTGTAGGCGCCTTGACCCTGAATGTTTGCTTACGGCATTAAGGTTTTCAGGTAAGTCCCCCTTCTCTCCCTCTTATTTTTTATTTCATAGGTCCTCGTGGTTGTATGGCAACGAAGCATCAGTTCAAATGGCTGATGTACTGCTGTTGATGATGATGATGATGACGCAGTGATCGCACATGCTGGTGATCTCAGCGTGCTTCGGAAATGAAGGTCGCTGCTCTATCTGGCAATACTCGCAAGCTCTTATTTGTTCCACGGCACACAGTAACCCCGGTGTCAGTGAGGCTATTTGTGAAGCTGACGGTTCGCCGGTTGCTAACCTACAGAGGCGTCCGGATCGATGGGCCGAAAATTTTCTTTCCCAGCTCACTCGGCCTCACCACCCACTTGTATCTCCTGCAAACCCAGCTGCCCGCCCTGGGTCGTTACACTTGATCCACCTACTGAAGCAGAACTTTGTATTGCGATTCGGCTTTTCAACCGACTCGATGCTGGCAGCTCAGACGAACTTCCTTCGGAGCTGTTCAAATATAGTGGTGCAGTTATCTTCAGTCAGATAACATTGTTCTCCGAAATCTGGCATGAAGGAAATGCACCTTCTTCTTGAGACGAGTCAATTATTCTCCCGATCTTTACTTAACGGTGCCCGCACTGTGTCCGCTAATCACCTGGGGATCTCATATCGGTGGCCCTAAGCTATCCATCCTACTTCATAGACTATCCCCGATTCGTGAATCACAGTACCTGGAAGAACAAGCTGGCTTCCGTCCTCACTGCGAAATCTTTGAACATCGCCACCTCTACCAGTGGTGGCCTACAGTATGATTTTGCTTGCTAAAGAACGGAGTCCTAGAAAAGTATACTACCGTCCTGCGCGCCCTCTACTTCCAGGTCTCCGGCAAAGTGAGGGTCTGTGGCAGGCTTTCGTCGTCCTTCGCTGTCAATAGCGATGTACGACATGGCTGCCCTATGTCCCCGTTCCTTGTCAATTTTGCTATTGAAGACGTCCTGTCGAGAGCTCTAGACGGTTACCAATATTTTGGTCAGCAGCTACCACCGCTTAGGCGAGCGACCGACTTAAATTATGCCGATGATATCGCTCTACTTAGTGGCGACTGACAGAGCATGCAAACCATTCTAGACCGTTTGGCGATTGAGGCATCTAAGTACGGAATGCGCTTCGTCCCGGCGAAGTGCAAAGCGCGACCCCAGAATTGTCACTTCCTCTTTTCCCGTGCTCACTCTTGAAGGCACACAGCTTGAACACGTTGACAACTTTCTCGACCTAAGCAGCTGCGTGTCTGCTGGTGGCGCTCACAGGAAGGAAATTCCTCTCCGCATCGCCAAGGCCCCGTCTACGTTTGTCAATCTGCAACACTTGTGGCGTCGTCAGGATGGTTCTTGGTAAAGGGTCGTGTTTGCAATGCTAATGTTCTGGCGGTGTAGATATATGGAAGCTAGCCATGGCCAGTTCGCGTGGACAACAATGGGTGCTAGAGAAGGATTGCTCATGTGTGGTGGCAACAACGTACGCAACACTAAAACCAGACGTCGTGTCTTAAAGAATGCGGGTTTTCCCTTCAACAAGCTGGTTTTGCTACACCAATTAAAATGGTTCGGCGACGTCCTGTGTGTCAGCTGAACATTTGCTTTATCGCGCTCTGTTCGCTCGTGCATTACTCGACTGCAAGTGACCACGCGGTCGTCAACCATCCGCCTAGCGATAGCATATAAAACTGTTGACTTCACGTTTGCCACCGTTGGATCTACATCTTGATGGTTGAAGGACGAAGAGTGCCGATGGCTGGAAGCAAGTCCGGGTATGGTGCGCAACCGGAACCAGTAGATTCAGAAACTTAACACATAACAATTAGAAATAGATATAAAAAAACAATAAATGGCTTGTGAAGAAATGACGAAAAGGCTGTCGTTCTTTTTGTGACACAACAGCTGAAGTGTGTTTCTCATCTTCAACTAATGGGTCGTGATACTGATGCTGCGGAGCTTCCACTTGTCATCCGCTGAGGTTCATGATCTCGTTTGACTCTGTGTCTGTTTATTAATCCGTTGCTTCTATTACTGCTACTACTACTACTACCACTACTACTCCTAACCGCTTTCAGTAGTGACAGCTTTAGTCCTACTCTCACCCTACTCGTTTTGTTACATTCGTTTCAATATTTTATCTTGTCATAGCTATGAAATTCCCCTTTAGCTCATATTTAACAGTTCACAATCCTTTAGCCTTGACCCGAACCAGATAATGACCATGTTTCCATCGGGTAAATCGCCACACGAGTTCTTTCAGGATGGACCAAAGCATATATAATCAATGCTTAAAGATGGCACAAAGAACTCAGCAACAACAAAGGTTATGTGATTCCGAATTATTTTGAAATCATACACCCCCTATTGCATATTCCAGTCATACATAAGCATGCTAATTATTGCACCCACGATCTGTCCACAACCCAGGGACAGCTTCTCGTACAATCGGGGAATATACGTATTATTATTATTCTTATTATTATTAACCCTCTTGATTTGAGGTGGCCAGTCGGAAATTGGGCTACAATTTGTACACTTAGATTGATCCTTCATGTGTTCTGACATACATTGCGGTTACTCGTATAGCTGGCTTCCCTGTCCACGGCGGCTACCACTCGCAGAACGATACTGGGTTGCTTGTGACTTTCGCCTGCCAGTAGCCTTAAGTAGCACAAACCTGTCTTGTGACCCGAGGTCGTGATTTCGAGGCTGTGTAGGGAACTGGGCGACCCACGTGCGATCAGTGGTAGTTGCGCGGCACCGAGACGTCGACACTGTGCACCGGCGTACTGCTGGTACCTTTCTTACTGCCTTTCGGTTCCGTGTTCAGTTATTATCGCCGTATTGGGATCTGATTGATCTTACTGCGTTGACTCACGTAACCAAACCAAAATTGATCGTTAATAATATGTATAATAATACCCAACTGGAACACTTAAAAGGTTAAGACCATCTGATGGAAAAGTTACAGTTTAGAATTTAGAAATGGGATCTGGTAACTTCACTAACTTGGTAACTGCTCCATGTCCGACGGGACATGTGGACGCGGATGTTGTAGCTTTCGGAGGACACATGAGTCTTACCGATGGATGCGCGAACCTTTTCGATAAAGTGACTACCATGGGTGATGCACGCACCTATATAGACAAATTGACCGAACCAGTTTGGGTGGTTGCTCGGCTCTTTTGAACACTGGTGGTATTGCCCCAACTCTGTGACAGCAGTTTGCGCTAAGCTTCAGGCTGTTCAAAGATGCTCGCAAAGTAACTGCAATCGACCTGTGTAATATATTATTTCACCTATTCTGAGTTTGCTACGGCAACCTCCACCTCAATAATTGGTAGAAACTGTTAGGTCTCGAACGGCCTGCTCTAAGGAAAATCGCGTTGTCTGAAAATCAAGTCGAGTTGGCGCCACTGATTCAGGCCAAATCTTGTAACTTGGATGGAAAACAGAATTTCACACAGATCAAAGTCAAATGCGCACAAAAACGAAACAAATTTACTTGTTCGGAAAGGTAAGTGCGCGATTTCCCACAAGAACCGTGTGCCTTGCATTAGAACAGTCTTAGTTACAAGCAGACTAGTGTTTTTCCATGTTGCAGAACATTTGTTACTACCGCTTGTTACATACCCCTCACACGTCCCGTGGTTCTTTGAGATCGATCAATTCAAATTAGCCCTCAGCCGTGATTGGAACTGGACTTAGAGTGTTTTCATACCCACGCCGGCCCGTTTAGTGTTCTGCAAATATACCTCCTGTCCGGTGCGTTATCTTTTCGACTCGTGGGGCGCAATCTAAGAAGTCGAACGCCTGGAGACACAACAGAAACCATGGTTATTCTTTCCGAAAGTCGACGAAAAAGGAAGAGATAATACTTCACTTGTGCACTTCACAAGACGAGATAATCTCAAAGGACAGTTTCTCATAACCATTTGAATTTCTATGTTAGTCTCGGTCTTGGATTAGAGATAGACGCATTTCAACTGCGTGCATCGCTACACATATCCAAGCATGCTGACTATTGTAGCTTGGGCTGGGAATGCTTTTTCGGTTATTTTCGTGCTGAGAAAAAACAGAAGATTGACTTTTTCTTCAAAAATTGATTTAACGCAAAATACACATTGTCTTTGTATTTATTACAACTCCGTATGGTTGAACTGCGTTTACCGTTCCGTGAGACCTCGTCAAACATGTTCGGAACTGGCTTATGTGAAAATAAATTTCCTACCATACTACTCACAATGGGAAAGTAGGTAACGCTAAGTTTTGGCAAAGGCCATCCGTATGTTGATCACTTTGCTCTAGTACCTCAAGTGGTCAACTTAAGGAGGTTCTACTATACGATGCTATACTATACTACTATAATACTACTATACTATACTATATGTCATAAACAGTACAAAGGAGGCCTTTAAGTCAATGGAAAGTCACATCGTAAGAAATGCCTTAGATAATGTATTGCAATATATATATATATATATTATATATATATATATATATATATATAGATATTATTATATATCTAACTAATATATTCTATATATATATATATAATAATCCATTGATCGCATTGATCTCAATCGGTGCGATAGTGCTTTTGGTATCTCGAATCTACGTCATTAGCCAATATAACTTACTTATGGCTTCTCCTCTTCCTGCCACAGATTTTTTCGAACGCCTGTTCCCAACCGAGATGCAAGAAACGTGAAGCGGTACTATGCCCTTGCGCCCGTTGTGGGTTAAATTTCTGTCTTGCTCACCGCAACGAACTTGATCACGATTGTCGAGGCCCGCAGCCCACATCTATGAACCGGCGACGCGTCAGTGCCGCTGGAGCGGCGGCCATTTTTCGCGCTGTTTTTCGGAATCAGAATGCATCCACACTCTCAGTGAGTCGACCTCCTCAGTGTGTTTTTCATGGGATCGCTAGCCAGCGACAATACAATAGTTACACTGTCCTGCTGTGATCAGCCGACCCGTAGTCTTAAGGATCACAACTTTGACTTGTAATCCGAAGGCGTGAGTTCGAGCCTGCGTATGGGGCCTGGCGACCTTCGCAGTAACCTTAACCCACGTGCGTCTGGTGGCGGTTGTGCGGCAGCGAAGCGTCGGTACTGCGTATCTGCATACTGCTAATGCCTGTGCTATGCATGATATTCTCATCTCTGCCAACTGCTGTTAGAGCACCAGGGACCCGTGAAGTTTAGCATATGAATGTTGTCGAATTTACTCTTTGCATGTCTGATAAGAATATGATGGTTCAATCGCCTTACATTACTTTCGAAACAATCCACCACATCTCGACCCATCTACGTGTTTACTGCGAACACTACCCCTTTCCCAAGCAAAAAAAGCATCAGCAGTATGCCGACACACCTTACCGACACTTTGCTGCCAAGCGACCACTACCAGTCGCGCATGGACTAGATATACCGCTAGGTCACCGCGTCCATACGGATTCAAATCGGTGACCTGGGGATAACGGCAACCGCGTATTCCGCGGTATTGTGGCATTGTGTAGTAACAGCTGCCTCGCAAGAAGATGGTCGCCGACCCGTTTCCTCATCCGTTCGGAATGAATTCGATGCCCCATCGGGTTAGGATAAGTTGTAGTGATTATTCATTAGCTTTGCAAGTGTGTATTGGCTATCCATTTCAGAAAAAGGTTTTGCTCCACCTGAAAACTTCGTATGGAGCATTTCACTCCCGGCCTAATCCATAGACATTCGTCAGCTTCATCGTGACGGCCGAGTTTAACCCACCGTAACCATAGGTTGTTCACGAGATTACTGCAACACGGGCACACTTTGGCAAGGTAAACAGGAGCCAACTTCACTGATTTCTTATTTACACTTAGAGTCCGATTTGTAACACATTTCGTTCTGTGCTACACCAACCAGATCGAGTCTCACCACGGTTAGCCAAGCTGTTACGCACGCGCGCATATATATCGATCATGTTGCCGTCCCGCAACACAACATATATGGGGAATAACTACATGTCAGATTCGTGCGTCGTTTCTCTTCAACTTTCGTGGATTTGGCCGCTTGTCTGGTTCGGTGGGTTATCTTCCGTAACTCGCATTCTGACCAGCCTGGAGTTTTTCTAAGGCTCATGATTTGCTTGCTTGCGGTTGCTTTAATCGGCTTGGGGTCGCTCCTGGATGCACTGTCAAATCCCCTACTCAGGAGTACATCAAAGGCGTTTCTGTCTGATTTCTTAAACTTTCGACAAACAACTTATCTGTTCTCCTTGGCTTAGACTCGTTACCGTTCGTCGCTCGCGATCCGCTCTCTGCTCGTTCTGTGGAGCTTGCGTTGCGCTATTCGATCTCATGCATGACCCCTGTGCCTGTTTCCTCGCTCGTTCTTGTGGCTTTCCAGTTTTCCCTACGATCCTTGTCTTCCGCGCCACTACAATAACTCTGTCATCGCTTACGCATATCTTGGAGTGAACTATTTTCTTGGCACTGCGGCTTTGATTACATCGATGTCTTGTCCATGAGTGTATGAAACTGTTCGTTGGGCACTTTTCGTTTAACCTTATCACCTTATTTCTGGGTGACTCTGTCTCTGTGTATCCTACCTCTGTGGACTCTCCGCTTGCCCTTGTCCAACTTGATATCGTCCTTTTGGCTATTTGGAACCCTCTTGCTGTTGGACTTACACTATGTTCCATTGTCCCACATCCGTCCATTCAACTATGTTGCTTCGCGTGTACCGACGTTTCTGTTGTCTCTATGGATGATTGCGAGTAATCCGTTTTCCGAACTGGATTGAGAGGGAGTTTACCGAGTAAACTGTGGCCTCAACTGAGATTGCGTGTTGCAATCCAGACACACAGCGAGTACTCTAAGGCCCAACATTGAAGTGATTTTCTGTTTTTCGCAACGATCTAAGGGCTTCTATCAGTCAGTTGGGGTAGTGAGCAACCAACTCATTTCTTTTTCAAAGCAGGAAAATGTTGCGATATGTCAACATTTTAGTGGCTCTCATCAGTCAGAAATGCAATACAAACCGAACACGCACGGTTAGATATACATGGCGCAAATTGTAACACCGAACAACATGCCAGTGAAGACCGAAGCAAGCTAATTTGTTGCCTCAAATAGTTTTTGTGTACACATACGGTTGGTGGCATCCGGTTCTTCATTTGCCTGTCACTGCGGACTCCATAGGACAGCCCAGGACGCCTGTGCCTACAGAGGGACCATGGGTGGCTTGCACGGCACCATCAACAGGTCCATCCACACACCCCATGTTCAGTGGGGGTGAAGAAGCATGGTATATGCGACATCAAGCTCGGCATATATATATAGTATAATATATATATATCTATTTATATATATATATTATATATATATGCCCGCCAAACCTTATATGGTCAGTACGGTCAATACAAGAATCTGCATAATGCCACAACGGACGGGAAATACCATAAACATACAGCGAGAAAAACCGATCTTCATGAAAATAGAGAGTCACAGCAGGTCCTCCATTGCGCACGGTTTCTTGCCGTATCCGAAAATGTGTCCAGTCTTGCATGTTTCTGATACTTCACACCCCAGCCAGGTAGCCGAGAACGCCCGACCACGGCTAACTTTGACGTTAGCCCCTTCATGCTCCTGGCCCAAGTCATATGTTGGCCACCTTGCTTTCGCTTCCAGCCGACGTCTGCGCGCGTGAAGATAGCACGGCGAGGTAAACGATGAGTAGGCATGCGAAGAACATGCCCAAACGACTAAATTCCGCGCAGAGCAATTATGCTGCTCAGTGGCCGGCAGTCTGTCTAGCTGAAAATCCTCCGTCGAACATCTTCATTGCTAGAGTGATGTTGCCATCATACACTAGAAATTCTCCGAAGATAACGGTGATCAAAAACAGACAGCCTCTCAACATCCTTTGCGCAAACAGGCCAAGTCTCGCAGTCATAGAGCAGGACTGCTCTCACCGTGGCATTGTAAACTCGGCCCTTCAGATAGAGACTCAGATCGCCTTGACGCCAGAGATGGTGGAGACTAGCAAAAGCAACCCGAGCCTTGGAGACGCGCAAAGAGACCTCATCCGTTAAACCTTTAGCCCTGATGCAGCTTCTGAGCTAAACGTACTTGTCTACCACTTCCTAACGAATGACCTGAAAGGGTAAGGATAGGAGCAGCGCCTAGCCAATCCTGCAGCATGACCTTGCATTTCAATGGTGCAAAGGTCATTCCAAACTGGGAGACAGATACCTCCAATTTATACAGGACATTTTGGGCTGCCTGTGAGAAGTTTTAGATTACGGTGATGTCGTCTGCATACTCCAACTCCTGAAGTCGGTCCCCAGGAAGCAGGATTTCATCCATAGCATAATTGAACAAGAATGGGAATGCGGTGCAATCCTGTCTCACGCCACTGGTGATACTAAAGGGGGGGGGGCGGAAGTCCACCGTACACCCGCACTCGGTCCGAGCTTTGAGAGTAGATGGCTTGAAAATGGTGACAATTCTCGGACACCCCTCCTCAGTAGACAACTGCGACTCTTATGTCTAAGAAGACAACGATCGTTACCCGGCCAAATGTTTGACGACGCTCGAGCATTTGACGGAGTGTGAACATGTAATGGATACAGCTCCGGCCGGAGCGGAACCCAGCTTGCTCTTCACGTATACTTTGTTCGCGTACCAGGCTGAGCTCCTTAAAAACCCGGCGGCGAGCACCTTGGAAGCAACACAAACGGGACAATGCTTTCACCCCGAGTATACTAGCGTCTGACTCCAATTCTAATGCAACTTCCACATTCTTGATCAGAGCCCCTTGTTACCAACCATCTGAATTCGGTGGAAACAGCGGCTGTCCACCTGTTGTTTTCGCTTCCACATCTACGGTTGCGACTCGTAGTCAACACATGGTGAATTATCTTGTCAAGTGGGTCTTTTGCATTCCAACCTGATTAACCGACAGCGTAAACGTCTAACCCGTTGAGTTTAGCATAGAGCGCTTCATCTAGGTCAGTGGTTCTCAACCTGTGGGTAATTACCCCCAAGGGGATGAAATGGTGTTTTACTGAGGTAATTATAAGTCTGTCGCCAAACAACATTAATAACAAAGCCATCAGTATTAAGTGAGGTAGCCGAATACCTAATCACTATTGATTAGCAATCAGTGACTAGTCATTGGTAAGTGTTCAGTGAATTAGACAACTTCCGTTGATAAATTTTATTGCCAAAAATACGGGCACAAGCCTTCAAAGCAGCAACTAGATGGCGCCTCTATCGGATCTCTCGGCGATCGCTGTTCTTTTGAGTCAGGCCGATGTTCGTTGGGTCGAATTGGAGTTGAGTGAGCACCCAGATGAGAGCATAGGTCAGCCGGCCAGGTAAAGGAGCAAGCGAATATTTACAAGGTAGAACGGACAAAACAGGTGATTACTCTTCAGAACGTATCGATTCTGAGTGATGGTGGGAACCTGTCATCCAGGACCGATTTGGAAGAGATGTTTGAAACAAATGAGAAACCACTGACATCAGGTCATGTTTGATCAGGGATCATACACCAAAACAAGGAGCCGAATGAACTTAGAGTGTGACTTGCTATGTGCATTAGCCGAAACCGCACTAGATATACCAGAAATTATTGGAACTAAACAATATCAACCATTTCGTTAACGTACATCACCTTTTGATTATTCCAACATTGCTCAACGACTAGTGTTTCCTTTAGTTGAATGATAAAAATTAATTGAAACTATTATTCGTTACTCGTAATTTAAAGCGAAAAAGGCAATTAGTAGTTTAAACCAAAACTTTTGGAACTAATTGTTTATGGTGAACCCGGTTTGTGGGTAACAACCTCAGAAAGGTTGAGAACCACTGATATAGGTGGTTGAAATGGTGACATTGAAACGTCGG